AAAGCATAGAACAAATCTCTTATAATTCTCTATCCAAAGCATTCTATCATCAAAAAAAGATTATACATATTGTATACAATAAACCAGATTATACATTAAAAAAAAGATGTTTCTTTCTGCTGTGCAAATGTGTCTGTTCCAACAAAGACATATGTTAATATTTAGGAAGTCCACTGCTAGGAAGGATTATGGATACTAATATATATTATATTATAAAACATTTGACAAAAACTCTTAAAACCCATTTTTTTTATGCATGGAGTACTGTTTATTAATACATATTACTTAAAATTCAAGATTACAAGTAAATTGGACATAAGTACAACTTATGTATAAGTTCGTTAAGTATTGAGATGTTGGTGAATTGTGATAGAGTTTGAGATATCACATATTGTTGAGAGATTGAAAAATTGGGATAAGGAGGTGTGTATAAGAAACACGGATGAGATTCATGTGTCAACTTAAAAGATTTGACTCATAAATTTGGATATTGAGGTGACACCATAAGAATTGAGTATTTAGATTTTGATGAATTATGGTTGAGTTTAAGATATCTCACATTAGTGAGAATTAAAATATTAGAATAAGGAGGTGTGTATAGAAAGAAGAATGAGATTCATTGTTTCAACTTATGAGGCTTGACGCATAGGTCGTGTTATTTGGATGACCATATTTTTGTAAAATAAATCTTATTATATAAAAATAAAATTTATATATATATATATATGTGTGTGTGTGTGTGTGTGTGTGTGTGTGAGCCGGTTCAAATGCTAACCAAGATTATTGTGTTAACTTTGTTAACCAATCTTGACGATTGATTCTTACAATAAACAGTTGTCATTAATCATGATAAAAAATTAATGTTTTAAATTTACAATTTCGAAAAACATATGTGAACAAAGTGGAAAAGGGTATTTAGGTAAAAAAAATTATGTAACTCCCATATCATTAATTGGGAGTTACAAAATCAAAAAATCTCATTATTTTTGTTAATATGAGAACCATATATATATATATATATATATATATATATATATATATATATGAACCATTGTGTCAAATACGAACAAAAATTGACATATATATGAACTTGAACTGCATAACATTTATGAACACAATATGAACATAATAAGAATAGCTGCTACACGAATAAAAAGACAGGTATGAACACAATATGAACAACTTTTTTGAACAATAGTTTCTTCATTATGAACACATTCAGGAGTGAGTTAATGTTGAGATATGCAGCTAATGTACATATAAACACTTGTGAACAATAGTTTCTTCATTATGAACACATTCAGGAGCGAGCCAATATTGAGATATGCAGCTAGTGTACATATGAACACTTGTGAACAATAGTTCCTTCCTTATGAACAATAGGTTTATCCATAATAGTTTGAACGATAGCGAAAACTTCACTACCGGGTCTCTTCTAGCAATCACAAATTCAAAAACATTATAGATAGAAAAACCAATATTATAAAAAACAAGATCAATAATAAATTAACAGAAATTATAAATTCAATATTAGATGTCTTGATTCATGTCCCTACTAAAACATAGATCATTCTGAAAGATGTCACATAGACTCTCAATTTACCGGCAAAACTTGGTCTTCAATATATCAAGGATAGCCTTGATATCTTCTCGAACTTCCGAGTCTTCAGCTTAAAAGACTCCAGGTTGTTGGTTAATTTCTTTAATGTGATTTGACGTCATTAATCCTTCCCTTCAACTATTCAACGGACTTCTCCACATCAATGACTCTAGCATTGAAGCTGACCATAAAATCCTTTGATTGGCCCTGGATCTTGCTTCGAGTATTGACTCGTTCACGACAAGACTCTTCCCATCTTCGGGACTCTTCCCATCTTCGGGACTCTTCCTCAATCATAAGCTTCACTTCATGTTTCTACCATCGCCTCGAACCTTCACTTTTATACCACTCGTCATAGAGTTGTTTTCACAAGCTCGCCTGCGACCTTAGTTCTCGAACTAAGTCATCTAAACTACAAGAATACTGAATGATGAGCAAAAAAAATGCTAAGATGATTGGGAGAACTATATACTTCTATTACTCAAGTTGCTGAGTGTGCAATCTGATTTACAAATGAGAGCCTATATCTATTCATACTACTTTATGAAACTATTTACAGACTCTATCTAGATTTTTACAAGGCAGCTTTTAGCTAAACAAAGACTATAATTGCATGGATCTTTCTAGAATATGTTTGACCCCCTCTTAATCCTTCTTTGTTCCTTCTCGATAATTTTCCAAAGTTCTTTCATTCTCTTGATTTATCTAAATGTTTCGGATTTCTAGAGAACCTTCTAGCATGACTCATACTAATTTGAGAACATTGCAATTTTAACAACATTCAAATTTTGAAAGCATACAATTTCCACAACATATCAATTTTAACGACATCTGCGTTCCAATTTTGACCGCATACCAATTTGGACAACATTTGCATACTATTTCTAACATCAATTTTGCATATTGACTCTAATTAAAATCTAATCAAACCAAAGAACATTGTAGTGATCAATTTTGGCATCATGAGTATTAAATCATTTGAGGACTTACTGTGAATGCAAAATTTACCAAAAACCCATTTCTATTTACCAAAAACCAAAAGGTATATAAACACATGTACAACCAAAAAATTAGGCTAGAAGCTTAAGAATGTTTAAGCGTCCTAATAGTATACTTAATAGAACTTAAGTTTATACTACCACATTGTAAATCGTCATATCTAAAAGTGTTACAATAGATTTATAAGATGATTTTAGGTGTTTTAACAAGTTTTTTGAGAGGTTTTAAATAAAAGTGTCATATTGACTATTTGTAGGACACTATTTAAAAACATATCATATAAATAAGAGTGTTCTATAAAAAATTGAGTTTATAGGACACAAATATCATGTAAGATATCTAATACAATACTTTATTTTAATTAAACTTTTCAACCATCTTTGTAATTATATATATATATATATATATATATAGAGAGAGAGAGAGAGAGAGAGGTTGGTTATTATACAACCCTTGTCATTTGTGCAACCAATACAACCCAATCTCAACCGTCCATTTCATTTGATTAATATGTGATTTTATAAAGGTTTTGATTATTTCCTAATATAAAGTATTAATCATAATTAATGAACCGTATTCATCTTCCATAAATATTTAAGTCATAATAAATGAACTCTAATCATTTCCATAAATATTTCAATTTGTTGGGTTGCATTGGTTGTACAAATGCGATAGGTTGTATTTGAAATAAACCCTATATATATATATATATATATATATATATATTTTGTATATTCATGAGTAACTTTTTACATTTATTAAGTAAAAAGATACTTGATGATTAAACGAGAAACACGAGGGAGTTGGGAAAATAAATATAATAAAATATGTTACCTTTCAATTTTTATATTGTTGTTTCTAAAATATTATATTATAAATTATTTAGAAATTATTACAATGTTTACTAAAAGAAATTAGATATAAAATAATTATTTTATTGATGAACTCATGTTTTACTTATATGTTTAAGATTCAACAATATTAATATTTGTAGTTCAAAATGATTATTTTACCAATAAGAGTGTATGGATATGGATAATTATGGGTCTTTTACTAAACACTTACCCGGTAAGTACTTACCGGTAGTCAAAAACCTTCCAGCCTAGTGGTAAAGGCTTGGGCATGGCATAGTCATGAACCCGAGTTCGAACCCTGGGAGGGGAGTGTTGGCGACATTTAAGTGGGTCCATGTTTAGCCTCCAAATTTGCCGGGGATTAGTCGGGCTTTGGCCCGGACACCCTTACAAAAAAAAAAATACTTACCGGTAAAATTTAACACTATTATATACTTATCAGGTAACATTTTAGTCCATCAAAACGACATCGTATGCAACAATTTACACGGTAAGCGCTTACCGTGGTAAGAGTCGTCGTTCTCACTTACTGGGTAAGACTCATGGTCCTTGTCTCGCTCTTACCAGGTAAGATTCTTGGTCCTTACCATATTCATTCGGTGAGGTAATGTGAGTTGGTAAGCTCTTACCCGGATAAGTGTTTGGTAAACGACCCCTTGTTTTCTTACCCGTTATTTTAAAGAGAAGAATGACAAAAATAACCCTTATCTTATACATACCCTACTTATCATCAGAGCTAACCCTAGCTTTAGCTTTAATTCGATGATGATGGAGAAATGAAAAGGGAAAAGGGTTGTGTTAAATAGGTTTACCCTCACCAAAGCAAATGAAAACCATAATGGTGATGTGTGTGGAATTTCAAGACCACATGCACGAAAATCGAAAGCTTTGACAAAATTTAGGGGCGAAAGTCTTAGTTTAATATGTTGACGTGACATTTTGAAAATTGTGTATAAATCATTAGATTAAGGAGTAATGATATTTTAAAATATATATATATATATATATATTCTACTGAATGATATGATAAGTCTTGAATTAGTATTCTGGTAGGCCAATTGAGTGAAGATAGACCTGCAAACCAATTACGCGTAATGAGGGAGACCGAAAAGTGAGTCAATTTTAACTCAACGATCAATTTCTTTCAAATTTCATTGCCAAAAAGGTCATTTTCCTAACAAATGAACCAATGAGATTTTTCATCACTCGGATATAGTGCTAATTCCCATCACTTCTCATCCATTGAGTTCAAATTTTACATTCCTCTCTCTCGAGTATATCTTGGTAATCTGGTGCACAGATTTAGAACGTGCCTTCTTACTTACCGGGTAAGACTCATGGTCTTTGTCTCGTTTTTATCGGGTAAGATTCTTGGTCTTTATCATATTCATCCGGTGAGGTAACGTTACTTGGTAAAAAAGGAAATTTTGCGTTTGTGTGGAAGACTAGCTAGACTCCAAAAGAAAGTATGCATGTATGCGTAATCATGTTCAACGCCCTACCAATATAAATTGCTCCTATAAACACATACCTCTAATTAGTTAACCATGATGATGAAGAAGGCCTTCTTTCCATCAACCATTCTCTTACTTACACTTTTCTCTACTCTATCTCATGATGCTTTGGGTTCTGTTGATGCTCTCCTAAGATGGAAAGCAAGCCTTCGTAGCCATAACACCACCATCCTACTTCCTTCATGGACAGATCAAAGCACCATGTCTGGATGCAGCTGGTATGGGGTTTCATGCGACGCCCATGGCAGCATACGTAGATTGAACCTTTCTTCTTCTGGTTTAATCGGTACTCTTGATCGATTCTCCTTTTCGTCGTTTCCCAATCTTACCCATTTCGAACTTAGTTTAAACTACTTTTCTGGGATCATCCCATCTGAAATCAGTTACCTGTCAAATCTTGTGTATCTTGATTTTTCTTCTAATCAATTCTCCGGAACAATCCCACCAGAAATTGGACACTTAAGAAAACTTGACACCCTCCACCTGTTTGATAATCGGTTTATCAGTGGTTCGATCCCAGAAGCTATATGACAGATGAGGTTCCTTTCTGTGCTTGCTTTGTATAACAACACGATTTCCGGTTCTATTCCGACCTGTTTGGGTCAGTTGTCTAAGTTGGCTTATATTTATCTCAATTATAACATCATTTCTGGTTCCATCCCTTATGAACTGGGAAATCTTTCTGATCTTGAAGAGCTTCATATGAACAACAACTATCTTACTGGTTCTATTCCCACAACTTTTGTCAATCTGAAGAAGCTAACCGTCTTGATTCTCTTCGAGAATCAGTTAAATGGATCAATCCCCACAGATATTGGCAAATTGAAGTCACTCCAATGGGTGGAGCTCCAAATGAACAATCTCAGTGGTCCGATTCCACGGTCTTTAGGTGAACTCAGGTCCCTCCGTCTTCTTCGTCTCTACTCGAACAAACTTTCTGGTCCACTACCGCAAGAGTTAGGAAATATGATATCCCTTTCTTCTCTGGAATTGGGTGTCAATCAACTCAACGGTTCCATTCCATCTTCGTTTGGTAATCTACAGAATTTAGAAATATTTTCTCTTAGGAACAATCAATTATCTGGTTTCATTCCACAAGAAATGGGAAAACTGAAGCTGACTCTAATAGAAATTACCAACAACAGTTTTTCCGGTAGTTTGCCGGATAAAATCTGTAGCAGAGGGACACTTAAGAGGCTTTTAGTTGGAAATAATAATCTCACAGGTCAAATTCCAAGTAGTTTGTACAACTGTTCGAGCTTGATCCGAGTACGGTTCGATGGAAACCAGATCACCGGAGATATTTCCGAAAGCTTCGGTGTCTATGTGCATCTCAATTACATCAATCTTAACGATAATAAGGTTTACGGGGAACTCTCTAACAACTGGAGTAAGTGTAGAAACTTGACCACTATGCAGATGGGAGGGAATCGAATCAGTGGCAACATACCTCCTTCTCTTGGAAACTCGCCACAATTACAAGTACTTAATCTTTCTTCTAATGATTTGGTCGGAGAGATACCGAAAGAATTTGGAAGGATGTCTGGCCTGGTGAACCTTTATTTAAGCCATAACCAGCTTTCTGGTGTTGTCCCGATGAATCTAGGATCGCTAGATGAACTCTCGTATCTTGATCTGTCGATGAACAAGTTTAATGGGCGGGTTCCGTCTTCTTTAGGGAATTGCTCGAAACTCTTTCACTTAAACTTGAGCAACAACGGATTTACTCATGAGATCCCAGTTCAAATCGGTCGATTGTTTCACTTATATGATCTTGATCTGAGTCATAATTCGCTCACCGGAGAGATACCATCTTCTCTCTCAAGTCTCACTAGTTTGGAGACGCTCGATCTTTCTCACAATCAACTTTCTGGTTATATTCCGAAGACCATGGAATTGATGAACGCGTTATGGAGCATTGATCTATCGTATAACCAGTTGGAAGGCCCGATTCCCGTTAGCAAAGGCTTTATGAATGTTTCGGTAGAAGGGAACAGAGGTTTGTGCGGTAATGTTAACGGATTGCCGCGATGTAGATCAATAACGCAAACCCGAAATCGAAACCATAAACTTGTGCTTTTGATTTCCCTTTCACTTCTTGGAGCGTTTTTATTTTGTGGTCTTTCGGGAATTTTCATCTTTTATTGGAGAAAGAAAAGGCCATCGATGGACGATGAAGATAAAAATGGCGAAGATTTCTTTTCGATTTCTACTTTTGATGGAAGGAAGACTTACAATCAAATCCTGAAGGCAACCGGGGAGTTCAATGGAGCGTATTGCATCGGAAAAGGAGGATGCGGAAGTGTATACAAAGCGAAGATGGCATCGGGTGAAACAGTTGCGGTGAAGAGACTTCATTCGTCCTCAGAAATGGTGAATCGTGTTGATTTTCTTAACGAAGTTAGGGCATTGACGAGAATAAGACACCGAAACATCGTGAAACTTCATGGTTACTGTTCGCACGCTCAAAACTCGCTTCTGGTTTACGAGTATCTTGAAGGGGGTAGTTTGGTTGAAAGCTTAAACAACGACGAAGTTGCTCAAGCTTTCGATTGGAACAAGAGGGTGAACGTTATTAAAGGTGTTGCTCATGCTTTATCTTACATGCACCATGATTGTTCACCCCCAATTGTTCATCGAGACATATCGAGCAAAAATATTTTGCTCGATTCGGAATGTGAAGCGTGTGTTTCGGACTTTGGCACGTCCAAGATTTTGAATCTCGAGTCATCTAACTGGAGTAACCTTGCCGGAACGTATGGATACCTTGCACCAGGTAACGTTGTTTCATCTATTTTGTTGGATCGTGTCCCACGTCAACAAGACATGGACCATCAAATCGATCTGCCCCTACAAGTCTACAACAGATGTCTATATCTAAAAGTCCTTGTAAACGACTTTATAACACTTAACTTTATAAGATCAAATTGTGTATCATATCTAAAAGTGTTACCAAGAATAAGTTGATAACAGACTTTTGGGGCAACCTAACAAGTTTTTTAGTAAAATATTGAATTAAAATTTCTCATTATTATTTTTATATGACGATATTTGAAAAACTATTTTATAAAATCAAGTGTCTTATAAAAAATAATCTGGTAGAACCAACATCTTACTTATAAAAAAAAACTTAATAGTATCTTTTTTTTAAATACACCCGGAAATTTTGCTACATCTCACCTTTGGTGAGGTTTGAACCTCTTATCTTCTAGAAGGTCAAAAACTATGATACCGCTAAGCCAAAGACCCTTTAGTGAAAACACAATTGTTTGTTTCTATAAAATTGTCTGTTAAAATATTTAGACATTTTTAAAGTCCTATAAAGCTAATTTTAAAGATTTAAAGGAGATTCAGATATCATATAATATTTGTATTGATGTATTGTTTGCAGAACTTGGTTGTTCAATGAAGGTAACAGAAAAGTGTGATGTTTATAGCTTCGGGGTTCTAACGTTAGAAGTGATAAAAGGAGAGCATCCAGGCGATATCATTACTTTTCTATCGTCTCCATCGACAAAAAATATGGAGCTCAGGGATTTGTTGGATCATCGTCTTGTGGTTCCAAGCCTAGAAATGAAGAAACTTATAACATCCATTTTGATCATAGCAATAAGATGCGTGAATTCGAACACAGAAATAAGGCCTACCATGTATGATGTTTCCCAGAAAATTACATGTTTTATCTCTGACATATGATAAAATCATGTCAAATCCGAAGAGGGATGTCATAATAATTTGGTCAAATTGCATCAAAATAAAACGAATTTTACCTTCCTATCTTGATGAATAATTGTCTTATGGTAATAACAGTATTTATTTATTTTGACTGATGAATATAGAGGAGGAAAATACAAATGGAGGCAGAAGGAGCAGATGGCTACTACTTCAAAGAAAGGTTCGGCCATATTGGATCCATGCATGTTGGATCATTGAGTGACCCTTCGGCTTAAAAGATTCACAGCCTGCTGTAAAAACCAATCGTTTCAGGTTGAGGTACAATGGGCATTGACATAGGTAGCAAAGACAAGAAAGATTTTGTTGTTTGGATCATATATACTTTGGAGTAAGCTGAAGGGTGTTTAAGAGGCTTCAGTTGGTATAAGGGGTTATGGTTTAAGGAGGAGAATGTACTATCCCTATACATAGTTGGAATTTTTCAATTATGGATTTTGAGAAGATGAAGTTTAGTTTCCAAATAATTAGATCCCAGTTAACTGTGATAGATGATTGTGGAGGATTCTAATTAACAATGAATTATGGATTGCATACACAACCATATTACCTGTATTCCAAATTTGACTATGTTGTGATCAGGGCCGGCCCTGGCCACGTGCAGCCCGTGCGGCCGCACAGGGCATCAAAGCCTAAAGAGGCATCAAGTTGTCATTTACTACTAATTTTGGGTTTAATAATTTGGGAATTAGACAACTGAGCTTTAACTATAAAAAACATGTCCAAAGCCTAGTAGTGATGAATATTGAATGCTCATCGTTGGAAAAAGTTGGAAGGTTGGAAAACTTTTTGTTTGAGAGAGTTTTTTCGCAAATGTAAGGAGCCTTTTTTTAGTTGGAAGGGATGTGTTTGGAAAAAAAAACTTGCTTTCTATATAAAGCTCTCCCTAGAAGCTTATTGGATAAGTTACTTTCTATATCCTTAAGCCACTATGAAATAGTCATACATAGTTGAACGAATAAGTTGTTAGTTTCATTAAAGTTGTTAAGCTGCTAACAGATAGACCCTTAGCATTTAATCGTTAGACTTATAACTTTTAAGGTTTACTTTTTGCTTACTATGACAATAATTTGGATGTAACTTACTACTTTAGTTAAAAACTAACTATAGTTTTTTATTGTCTTTTAAATCTCATATATTGAAATAAAGTTTATATTTTGCTAATTTCAATTTGGAAAAGGGAAAACTGGAAAAGAAGGAAGCATGATCTTAATCCAGGATTTATCATTTTATCATTTTATATTTTGTATTCGGGGTTTTGGTTTTTATGTTCCCCTCATTTTTTTTTTATTATAATTAATAAAAATCAACATGGAGATGAGATACTTAGCTTGAATAGGTTTTAAACTTTTTAAAAAATCGTATGTTTCGTTGTTTCATTGGCTTAAAAAAGTAAGCTTAGGGGCATTTTTTATTATTTTCGCACATGGCATCAAAAATCTCAGAACCGGCCCTGGTTGTGATCTGGAGGTTCAGGCTTCTGTTAATTGGATTTTTGTATTCTGGATTGGTAAGGTGATATAGGGTTGGTTGTATGAAATTTGGATGCAATAGTAAGGATGGAGATGAGTAGTTTGTCTATATTGTTTCTACATACTTTGCTGGCAAAAGGTGGCATATTGGGTAAAGTTTTGTGGTGATTGGGGCTTTAGAATGTGCAATTCAATGCATTTCTCGTCACTGTGGCATATGTCTTGAATCCTATTGATATTGTGGTAGGTGTGAAATGCAATGTTTGGCATTGAATAGGTGCAACAGGGTGGATTTGTTACTGTTTTGACACTATATTGTGGTTTTTTTGGAAAATGGTCTTTTAAACAGATTGTCCAGTCACCATCTACCTTATGCTGCTATAATTGGACCTTTTTAGTGCTTGGGAAAATAATGTTTTGTGTTCATGATTTTCTGATTTGCTGTTGTATCCTGTATCCAAATCGTAGCATGTCAGGATATGGTTTCATCTGAAGCTACTGGAGAGCTTTGATACCCATCTTACCCAAAGAAAAACGAAGGATGGAAATTTCCATGAATTGGAGCCTTCCAGTGTTGTAACCACCTTTTTTATCATATTTGTTGGATTAAATCTATCCAAAGGTTGAAATTTGTTTTCAGGTTTTCCACCGTTTTTGTTGGTTTCATTTGAACCTCCTTGTATTGTTCTATTTCTCATAATCAATTTTCTTCTTTTATAGGTGTCATCTTTTTAGTTAATCGGCTTTCTTCAAAGAGAGGGGTGATTTGTTGGATGTCTGTTGAAGATAAATGATCCTTGTATAAATTTTTAGGGTGTTTTTGTTTTATTTTTAATAGATTAAACTTCAAAGAATGCTTTTATGTAGTCAAGGGAACCKTTWCYTAGATGGAGTTGATCTAATTCATTTGTTTATTGTACATTACATTTKATAATCAATTTAATTAAACTAAATTTGTACATTCGATTAATATTGGTAGATGATTAAATTTGTTTGGTTTTGTCCAATATTTGGGTCAATTATTTAATCATTTTTATCATATTCGTACATCAAGATACAAATACAAATATTATGTAAAATGATTTTTTTTTATTCATTAGTAATTAGGCTTGGTTAGGTTAGGTTAGGTTGGTGTAAATATATTGGATTTTTAACTGTCATATAATTTATTGGTGTTCGAGACCATTGAAACCATAACTTTTATTTATTCAAATCATTTATATTTGTGACTCCCGCCGCATTGCGTGGGTACACAACTAGTATATTATAAAGCATTTGACAAAAACTCTTAAAAATCATTCTTTATGCGTGAAATACTGTTTATCAATGCAGAGTGCTTCAAATTTAATATTACAAGTAAATTGTGCGTAGGTACAACTTATTAAAGCTCCATTTTTTAATTCGTATAACTAACTGCAGACAAACGTAATCAAATACAGGATAAATATATATAATCAAGTATAGGATAAACATCTCATTTTAAATAAAAAATCTTATATATAATTAGGATAATCATT